TGCGGGTGTGTCGGTGTGCGGGTGTGGGGGTGTGCGCGTGTGGCGGTGTGCGCGTGTGGCGGTGTGCGTGTGTGGCGGTGTGCGCGTGTGGCGGTGTGCGGGTGTGGCGGTGTGCGCGTGTGGCGGTGTGCGCGTGTGGCGGTGTGCGCGTGTGGCGGTGTGCGGGTGTGGGGGTGTGCGCGTGTGGCGGTGTGCGCGTGTGGCGGTGTGCGGGTGTGGGGGTGTGCGCGTGTGGCGGTGTGCGCGCCGTTTCCCACCCTCCTCCCCCTAGGGCCCCCAGGTCGTGTGTCGTGTTTTCTTTTCGCCAATCGTTCTTGGGTTAAACGTACCCCGCCTTTTCCCCCTTTTCCGTGCCCCTCCGCCCCAAATACACACACACACACACGCCCACACTGCGGACCCCCATGACAGCACCTGCCGCTGCTGCTTTGGAGCCTCGCACGCATCCGCCTACGGCCGGCGTTGATGTTTATGGTGTCGTATACCGGGATTATACGGGCGCATGTACGGCAGTACGATATGCGTCAGATCGCGCAGCTGCTGTGGGCGTACGGCCAGTTAACGCCAGCGGCGCCGTACTCCAAGCTGTACCATCGTCCTCCGCGGGCCCTCGTGCGCTACTTGCTGCGGTGAGGCTGTGATATGGTTTTGCGATGGTGGGGGTGGGAATGGGACTTTTATCTCCATGCGTTATGCTTTTTTAACGATTTTTCGGAGGAATAAAAAATCCGCGCTTTACCAGCCGAGTATCTATTTCTTGCTTCTGTAGACTTCCGACGTGCTTTGTCTTGTGGTGGTGGTGGTGGTGGTGGTAAAGAAGCTTACAACGGGGGGTTATAAAATACTGTCAGGATGGCGGGAAGCTCCCCCTCTTTCCCGCCTTTCCCCTCCCCTCCCAACAGCCCCCCCCACCACACACACACGCGCGCGCACGTGTGTGTGTATCTTCACTCACTCCAGGAAAACCCATGCTGACCCAAAACCCACATTTCCCCCCACCCCACCCCACCCCACCCCACCCCACCCCACCCCGATCTCTTTAATAAGCCCAACTCAACCCCGTCGTACTTCAGGTATCACCACCACCACCACAGCCTCATGTTGCTTCTCTCCCCTGAGTCAGCATCCCGCCGAATTCACAAACTCGGAGCTGTCATGCCTTTTGCGTGTTACCCAACACCTCTCAGTCTTCCAGATGATGAGGACACCCCCCGTAACCATCTGAAGTGTCACGTCCCGTACACCCACCCTCCTCTTCCCCTCCCTTCCCTTCCCCTCCCTTCCCTTCCCCTCCCTTCCCTTCCCAACCATTTACCCCGCCATCCCCCCTTCATTCGCCAGTGGTTCCGTCTTACCCCTTTTTCCCCCCACCCCACCCCCCATTCCTTGCGTTCCTTGCATGCGGCCCACCACCCCTGTCTTGTCCTCCAGGACTTTGGATGCGGGCAGTCCGTCCTAGGTTTCGTTGCATGTAATTCTCCCTTCGCCCCCACACACCAATCCCCACCTATGTCCCAACGTAACCCTAAACCCCCCTTTCCCCCCACCCCACCCCACCCTCTCCCCCCTTCTCCCGCGGCTCCGGGTACCAGGCGCACGCTGCACGCCATGCGGGCGACTAACACAGCAGCACCAGCAGCGCCAGCGGTAAAGCTACAGGCAGCTAGGCAACCAGCTACTGCCGGAGCAGGTGCGGCCGCGGCGGCGGCGGTGAAAGGGCTACCGGCAGCGGCGCCATCAGCGGGGCCGGCGGCGGCAGGCTGTCAGGGTGTACGGCACCACTACAGCCGGCTGCGTCCCGAGGAGGTGGCTCTGGCGCTGTCCGGGCTGGCGGGCTTGGAGTCGCGACCGGGGGGGGACTGGCTGCGGCGGTTGTACGCCTGGTCGGGTGGGTGGGTGGGTGACTGAGAGAGAGGGAAAGAAGAACGACGGGAGGGAGGGGAGAGAAAGAAAAAGGTGGGGGGAGGGGGAGAGCGGGGAGAAGGAATCGAAAAGGGGGGAGGGAAGGAGTCGGTGTGTTGGTGTAGATTTGTCGTTGGCTCACAGCTCACCAGGCTTTTTTTCTTTCGTGCGTGCGCGTTTCCATGCCGCCACCAACTCCGGATACAGCCCATAGTCGTCCAGCAGTACTTACATCCTAGAATTTTGATGAAATACGGCGAATTATACGAATACGGCGGCCAACGTATTGAAATACGCTCGAGATCCAAATACGGCAAATCGTCAAACATAGTTATTTTCTCGATTCCAGTCGAGTTGAAATTTTCCTCCACTTATCTGCAATATCTTTTCCATATCTTTCATATATTATAAGATATATCGCGCACACATATGGTTCACCTCGTGGTCCCGCCGTGGCTGACCCAGCTGGATGGTGGTCCATGTCGATGTCATGAGAACCAACCGCGGCACCAACCAGTCAGCCACTGCTGCAACTGCTGCTGCAAGAAGAAGACAACACCTTCAGCGGTGGTGTTCGGAAGGCACTGTGGTGTCACCGGGCTAGGCATTGTTGTGTCGACTCAGTGCACTACGAGTGACTTGAGCACTAACACTACATCGCATGGCCCTGCGTGGAGACCTGTAGCGGGCTGTTGATTGTTGGGGCTCTAATTAGGTATTACCTGTGACCCATATGGGTCGGATGGCCTGTAGTGGAGACTACGACCGTACTTCCCGACGTATGGATGTTGGTTTTGAGTATTAAACACGCGGTTGCCGTACTGGACGCTGTATGATTGGGGCCCCCCCGGCATGACTCACCCTTTCCCCTGTGGCCCCTTTTGCTCTCCCGCAGGTCCCCGGCTGGCTTCCTTCAGCCCGCGGGATCTAGGGTTGCTGTTGTACGGCATGGCGAGACTGGGTGTGCAGCCACCTCGCCTGTGGGTTTGCAGGTGTGTGCGTGTGTATGTGTATGTATGTATGTGTGTAAGACGAATGTGCGGTGCCCGGTGTGGGTATATGGCTGCAAGGGGGGGGCGGCGGTAGAGAGGGCTAAATGGAGTGAAGGGTAGAAGGGAGAAGGGATCAGGGGCGGTGGAGTTGCGAAAAAGGGTGGGAGATGGCGGCGGCGACGTGTGCGGGTCCTTTACCTTTGATCCTTCCCCCCCCTGCTGCTGCTACCGCCCGCCGCCGGGCAACAACACGCGTATCTCCGCAAATCGGAACAGCCTGGCCTGACAACCCCACTCTCACCTCCAACTCCCCCCCCTCACCACCACCATCAAAATGACCTAGTGGGTCTCCGCCAGTGATTCCGTCAGGGGAGAAGTCCGCCGCCGGGAGAGGTTGACCTCTACGCCTGGGGGGTGTATCCCCTCCGCCCGCCCCCTCACGCCTCTTACCGACCTAGGGTGTGGAAGTTCTTGGGTACGCTGAGCCCATATAGACACACACACACACTCGCTGTTCACCACCTTCCCTCCGCCATCACACTTTGCCCGCCCTTACACGTGCTGAATGCCAGGAAGTAAGGCCCCCGTGTGGCCCCAAAGAGGGGGGTCCCATCCCGCTGTATATCTCACAAACAATCCCTAAATGTATATACGGTCAACTCCGCAGAGCCGCGCGGTGCATGTCCGTACAGCTGCCGTACGCTAGCGGGTTGGATGCCGCCCACGCAGCGGCAGGTCTGGCCCGTCTAGCCCCAGGTCGGGTGCCTCGGAGCGTCGTGGCGGCGTTCCAGGTGCGACGTTGATTTGATTTGAATGATAGTTGTCTGGGGTTGCGGGAGGGGGGAAAGGGGGCAGGAGGAGGGGAGGGGGGCGAGGTTGTATTGTGCAGGAAAAAGGCGGCAAAGGGGTAATAGTTTATGGCAAGCGTGGTGACGATGGTAGAAAGCGGCACGGTAATCGACCTTCTGAAACCCACTCACCCACACTGCAAAAACTGCCTTGGCGATTTATCATAAACCCACCTTTGGCCCCCTCAGAGAGCTCTCTCTCTCTTTCTCACGCATGCATGCATGCATACATACATACACACGATGACGGGTGGCATCTTCCGTCGCCAAAATATCAAACGCCCTCGCAGGCGGCGGTTCCTCACCTACTTCGCGGCAGGGCCCGCAGCCGTACGGGACCCGACGGAGGGGAAGGCAGCAGCGGTGGTGGCGATAGCAGCTATAGCCGTACTGCCGCTGCTGGCGGCAGAATCGCCGGTGTGCGTGCCGGCGCCGCTAGCGGGGGGGACGGCGGCGCACAACGTCCGGAGCGGCGGGGCCCAGTCGTGGCGGCGGCGGCGGCGGCAGCAGGGGGGGATGTGGAGGACGTCCCACAGGAGGTCTGGGCGGGCTTTCTGCGTTCGGCCTTTGCGCAGCTTCAGGACAATCCGCGACCTCAACCTCCGGGAAGAGGAAGGACGAAGGACTCTACGTGGCTCTCAATGCGGGCTTGGCTGGCGAGGTCGGGCTTGGCAGTCAAGTGCCAGAGTGGCGTCGATGGCGACGACGGTGGCGGCAGTGATGGCGCTGACAACGGCGGCGGCGGCACCACCGCCACGAGTAATTCAGCGGCCGCGAGGGCGCATCTTGTGCTGCTGACTTCGCACAGTGAAAGGATGCCCCGACTGAGGTTGCGTCGGTGGCCGCTGGCACCATCACCGTCACCGTCACCGTCAGCGTCACCGTAGCGAGAAGACCTTTAGTCCATCGTAATAGCAATAGCAGCAACAAAGACTGCACCAGTAGCGGTAGCTGCATAAGCGATGGTGGTAATAGCTTTAGCGGGAGTCCTTAATCGTGAACTCGCGCTGCGGAGCGAGATCACTAGCAAGTGCATTTCAGAGCACATGAAAAGGGTAAAAAGAAAAGGGGAGAGGGGGGAAGTCATATTAGGCAGGACGCAACTGGGGAGATTGCTGCAGTGAAGAAAGAGGGAAAGAGGCGGTGGTGCCAGCCGACGCCGTAAACGTCTACAACAACATCCCTTTTGTGATTACGAAGCAACACTAGCGACCTTATCGTGCCCTGGAATGCAACGTGACGAGATATGTTTCAACAGATTGTCATGGTCAATACACCCGTTAGGTTAGAACAACGATATGCCAGGTGAGGGAGGTGCGGGAGGATGGAAGGGGAGGGAGCTGGCAGTAACAAAATGGAATGGAATAATAGCCCCGAGCAAAAGGGGGAGGAACAGATGTTGTGCGTGCACCTCGGCCGCCCGCATTGCGAGGTGTAATAATATATCGCGCACCGGAGCAGTGCGAGGCAAGGATCCGATGCTGCCTGCCCCGACCCCGCGACGTGTCGAGAGCTCCAGTAGTGCGAGGCCTGCTGCAACATGTATGCCGTCGTGACAACCACAAGGGGCATTGTCATCGTCGTCGTCCTGTTGCGGACACACACTTATCGTCCCGACCCTGTCGGAGGAGCCGTGGCGGGTCTAGGAATCAGGGTGGCGCCAGCGGGGAGCCCTCCGACCCCCTTCAAGGCCCGGGGGAGCTGCGGGAGCACCGCCGCGGCGCCCTATACGCTGCTGTCCCATGAAGCTAAACACCGAAAATTCTGCGGCCAGGTCCACATCCCGCAACACATTGCAGAGCCCCCTGGGCTGATCAAATGGGAGAGCGTGGAGGCAGTATTTGGCTGGGCTGGCAACGGGAGAAGAAACAAGCTTGGAAGGCGGGCGCGGGTTTCGTGTCGTGTTGTAGAGCATGGGGGAGAGCAAGGCGCAGTGGGGAACTCGCCGCAGGTTGCCTGAACGCGCTGCTGGGTGTGTAAAAGACCTGTATATATGAAATGGCTTTGGAAAGCGATTTGCCTGGCACGGCAGATATCTTTTGTACCACATGTAATGTTGGGCTGGGAACGGGAGTTGGTCACAGACCCGTTCAGTTTCAGAGCGTCGGAACCGATACGGCCCGCCATCCGCGTACAGTTATACTTTCGGGGAATCGCTCAGCCGTTGCGGGGGAGGGATAAGGCTGAGAAAGTTGGAGGTAAGACGCGCTTTGCTAGCCCTCGTACGTGCAGCAGCGGTCCCCACGCGAACATGGCTGGCGGCTGCGAGGATAGAACGGGCGAGTAGCGAAAGAGGACGGCGCAGGACAAACACTACGCGCCGTCGCGCCATCTGAAGAAGAATATGAAGGCCACAAATACTTCTTGCATTAGCGACAGTGATCTCAGGTTCAATGCATCAAGGGGTTTGGGGTTCCGAACGGAAAAGAGTGAAGCGGGGCATTTGAACAAATTTGAACAAGGGCGACGCGAGGCCAACGCCATTCTGCCATAAGAACAAGAGGTTATTGACATTCCATAGTACGCCTTAGGTGTACTAGCGATCGATCGATAGCGACCGAACGACGGTACGGTCACTCGCTTAACTGCCCTTGCCTGAGACGTTGTTTCTCTGCAGAGCGGAAGCCGAAACGCATGAGACTGCTTAACCCGATGCCACATCTGGACCTTCGCTACCTTAAAGTTTATATTCGGACTAAATTCAAAGCATCTAATATGCGGGGTTTTGTGGGCTGGAGCAGGCGCTCCCCACAATCCAGATGTCGACACCTATCACCCGCTTGCCTACCGGCGCAAAAACATCTTCCGTGACATGGTGACGAAAGTTGAAACGCATTAGCAGGGTGACGTATTGGTCGCCTGAGTTCTGGGCTTCGCGAGGCGACGGGGAAATGTCCCTTTGGCGTTTCGTTTCCCAGGTCTCGCAGCCCGCTGAAATTTGGACAGGTAAGTAACGGTCGAGAAGAAGATTGTAACGGGCTAGGGAACGAGCCGCTTAGTCGGAGATTGGATGACCCGAGCTCATGGCTCCAGGAGGTGCAGGAGGTCGCGCTATGCCCATGTTGTCGCGTCCAAGGGAAACGTTGCGCGCAACTCGCTCTGATAATATGCAGCAAAATGACGGACAAACAGAGCGCAAAGGTCTTTATAGGAGGGCTGAGCTGGGAGACGACCGGCGAAAAGCTTAGGGCCTACTTTGAGAACTTTGGGTCAGTGCGCGAGGCCTTTGTTTCTTACAACCGCAACAATGGTCGTCCACGTGGCTTCGGCTTTGTTGTCTTCGAGAGCCCAGAGGTTGCGGACAAGGTGGTCGCTACCAAGCACACGATTGACCGAAGAGAGGTGCGGGCAGTTACAAGCCAGCAAAGCAACCCCCAAGCCCGCCGCTTGACCAATCGTTGACCTTGTAGGTCGAGGCCAAAAAAGCCGTGCCCAAGGAGGAGACGCCCGAGGAGAAGCAGCAAGGCTCGGCGCCGCAGCGCACCAAGAAGATTTTCGTGGGCGGCCTTGCGCCCAGCGTGGACGAGGCGCAGTTGCGGCAGCACTTCAGCCAATTTGGTACCGTAGAGGATGCAGTGGTCATGTATGACCACGAGAACAAGCGGCCACGTGGGTTCGGCTTCGTTACTTTTGCCGAGGAGGACGCAGTCGACCGCGTCTTCAGCCATGGCGCAGTCCAGACAATTGCCGACAAGCCCATAGAGGTGAAGGCCGCGGTTCCCCGCGACCAAATGCCTCCTACGCTGCGTATGCATGGAAGCTACTACGGCCAGCCGCCGCATCATCGCGGCGGACCTGGGCCGGGCTACGGTGCAGGCCCGCATCGGAACAACAGTTTTGCAGGTCCACCCGCATACGGTCCGCCTGGTCCCAACTATCCACCTCCTTACAACAATTATGGGCGACCTTTTAGCGGACGTGCGCCGAACAGCTTCGGTGGATACGGACCTCGCAGTCCCGGACCCGGGCCAGGTCCTCGCCAACCGCCTATGCCCGCAGGGTCGTTAGGCGCAGGACCATACGGCGGCTATAACCAGCAGCGATTTCCACAATCTGCACAAGGCCCGGGCACGCAGTCCGGTACTCCCGGTAGCGCGACCGCATCATCAGCAAAAGTGCCGCCCATGCCAAACGCTTACGACGTCTATAGCGGGCAGCTTAATGGCGTCAACAACGCGATGCTGTCCTCGCTGTATAACAATCTCTTCATGCCAAACGGATTGCCGACAGCAGCGGCAGCAGCGGCAGTCAACCCAAAGCAGCTTAGCTCCTTGAACAACCAGCTCAAGGCGCTCAACCTGGCAGCAGGCTTCGCCAATTTTGGTAGCGCTCCGGATGCGAGCTATCAAGATGACGCTGCAGCCGCAGCATATGCGGCAGCCAACCCCGAGGACTTCGCCGCGTCTGCTGCCGCCGAAGCTATGCAGGCTGGTCTGAACAGCCTCGCAGTCAACCCTGACTTAAACCCGTTGCATGACGCCGGCTTCACAACAGCGCCGGCGCCGGGCTGGTCCAGTTAACAGATGCAGCCCTGCGAGGGTTGCAGGGCCGAATCCATCATACTCCGATAACTGCGTGCCGTGCCACAGGACTTTTGACCATTGACCAGTAGCCTAGGTCACATCATGACCGTCTACTTGGACCAGACTAAGTTCAACATTACGACTACGCATGGCGATGTGACAAGGCCAGTTGAAGTGTATCATACCTTGACGACGGCATGGCGGGCCTTGACGTGTTGGTACTCGCATCCAACGAACTTCTTCGTTGGTCAATTGACGTCACCTAACTCCGACCGCGTTTGACGTGTTACTGTGGTTGAACCAGAAAGATGCAGAGGGTTTCGAGTGGAGAAGAGCATATTGTGGGTCATGCCGATGCGTTGATTGCCAATAGGGCAAATAAGATAGCTCAGATAGGCAGAGGGTAGCGCCGCCAGTGTGTAGGCGGGGGGGATAGCAGCTGTGTTGGAGGAAGTGTGGGGTGCAAAGCACAGTTTGCAACGTCTTGCAATCAGGTGTATTGAATTTCAGAATAGGGAGCTAGAGCCAGACGTATACAATTTGTTGGCGAAGTTGGCAGGCCAGACGCCAGACAGACCAGACGCACTTATACATCGCATGAGATACTAGGTGTGTGTGGTTGGCGTATGGATCGTATAAAGTGCCATATTAACTTGACGTATATGGACGCCGACGTGTATCTAGCCGGGTGCAGCGGAGTGCACCAGCTTGTGCAATTGTCCAATGCGAAGTATGTGCAAGGTTTAAAGTGTTGCCTGTCCGCTCCCGCTGCCACCCTGCCATGTCTCACTCACCCGCATTCCCACTGCGGAAAGACATGCACTCTTCAGAACTAACAGAATGCGGGATCTCATTCGTGCAGAACTAACAGAATGAGATCCCAAAGCAAAACGTCACAACTGACTCGGCGAGCGTCCGCAGGTAGGAGATCCCCGAAGCGGCACGAGTAGTAACCACGCAACGCTAAAGAAACTGCACCAACCAAGTCCATACATCCTGACATGTGGTCAAGAGCACCCGAAAACTTACCAGGACTCAGCCAGGAAGTGCCGCTTGACGAATACTGCCGGCACAGGGATTGCGCTGTACTCGCCTACCGGCACCCTCTTCGCCATGTTAGTCTTTCACATCCACCGATGTGAACGTCCTGGCGTCTGGATAACACAACAGATGCGGCTGGCAAGTGCGCTCGCAAATACTGCCGGCACAGGCGTCGCGTATTTTAATGTATTCATAATGCCCGCAAGAATGTCCTCGTCAACCCAATGCATGGTTTTCTCTGATGTGTACAGTTCTATTTTTAGGGGGAGCTCCAATGCTGGTGTTCCGCGTCCGAAGAATGAGAACGAGCAATAGAAGTGTCATGGAGACATCATGGAAAACCATGCATTGGGTCGCCGAAGACATTCCTGCGGGCATTATGAATGCACTGAAATACGCGCTCGCCCGGCGTACACCTTCGTGGCAGCGCAGAGAACAACAGCCCTTTCAAGATGAAAACAATCATGTGCTCAAGCACCAAATAGTTCATAAAAACGCAACGAAATGCTATTTTAGGTGTTAAATCATGCGTCCTCCAAAATGCCGTACACAACTTTTTCCAAGAAACATGGACCTTAATACATGGTGATGTACAGAAAAATGGACGACAAAATAGCATGCAGCTACATGCCAACTTTCGAACCAATAATCTATTTCGATGCTGTTTATGTTGCACACTCGTTCAGCATTACCACTCGGCTTAGAGTCATGTAAATGCGCGGAAAATAGACTGCTGGAAAACGGCGCATGTGAGCGATGAAAATTGTTTGCTTCCTACCTTCCAGTCGACTGTCTATCTCTTGGGTGCTTTCTACTTGTAAATGCAAGGCTTTATGTTTGCATGGCAGGATTGCTGAAGTTTATGTTTGTTACCCATCATGCATGAATTGTAAGTCTAGCGACTGTTCGCTGCATGCGCGCTGACTGAGAACTAGTCGTATGAGACGAAGTCGAAGGATTGACACCAGACAAGAAATACTTTCAATTCCAAAAACGGTTACAGGTCGAATGACTGCCCACCGTTCGACACCCAAAAAACGGCGCCGCCCGCATCCGCAGTTGAAACGATTGGTCTGAGGCGGCACAAGCCATACATCGACCTTTGGCCTAAAAGGTCTTCACATATTCTCATACTGCTCAATAAAAGGTAAAAAGCACCCACGCTGGACACCTGTCACGTCAAGCAGCAAGCAAAATTTTCAGGCTTACAGCTGCTGCGTTTACAGCCGGCTGCGGATAGCACCGCCCTTGCCGTTCTCGCCGCTGGTCTGGGGTCCCTTAGTAATGGGCAGAGAAGCATCCTTCGCGCCCTTCAGGCCAAAGGTGGCGATAGCAGCAACGCCGGCTGCATTGAGGCATGCGAATTCATGAAACAAGGGGGGGGGCATACATGTGACATGGGGCACCAGGCGTGACATGCCGTACTTCAGCCCGCTTTTGTCGCGCATGGGTTAAAAAGGAGACCAATTTCCTGGGAACTGCAGAAAACTGCTGAACCCACCCCTGCCCAGCATCGTCTGATGCACAATGCTCCGCAATGCTATTGTATGTTCCGAGGACACGGTCATCTAGCATTCTCGTGCAATCGGACTGCAGTCTTAGAGCAGTCATATATTATTGGGCCACATGCCACGACCATAACAACTGGGGGGGTGCCTATTGGTGCTCACATGCATTCAACCACCATAATGCAAAGGGACAGCCAGTTTGCAATGACTTAGGCGAAGACAAAACATTTCCCTCAGCCATCCTCTCCTGTTTCCCCCAACAGCATCGTTACTTACACAGGGCAACAAAGGCGCGCAGCGCCTCACGGCGGGAGAGGATATCTGCAGCCTGGGTGAAGAACTTGCTCTGGTTCTCCGGGTAACGCTTCTTGTCATCAACACCGTACAGGTCCCACGAGCCGGTGGTGTTCTCCAGGTCCTATGCGCGTGGAAAACATAGATGTTGGGTGCATCAATGAAAATTGTACCGTAACCCTGCCATATGAGCTGAGCGAGCGATGGCCTACGATTGAGCACGCATCTGAACATTCTTTCTACCAAATTATATTACAAGCGGCACATCTGTCATGCACATTTATCTGGAAAGGTCTTTTCAGCTCAGTTGCAAAACATAACTTGGATTCCAATTGTCCCAGGAGCCTTCAAGACAATACACTTGCCCATGGCAGAACAGCTGTTGCACTTGCCTGCAGGTCGAAGTACCGCGACTGCTCGCCATACTTTGCGCGCACGGTCACCGCCCTGCGCGAGTAATCCGTCCCAAGCAGGGAGTTGATGCCAACATTGCGCAAAGCTCTATCACCTCAACGCGAGTATAAGACGTGTGTCTATTACGTACTTGCGAGCAGCAACGCGAGGGCGCTGGGCAGCCACGCGGGCGCCGAGGACAGGGCGCTGCACGAGGGAGGCCATTTTGAACGAGCAGACGAGGGGTTGTGGCCGAAAGGACGTCTAGTGAGAGATCAGAAGACGCACAACAATTTCCTCACTGCGCCAGCAGTGCACTAACAGCGGACGCGATCGTACGACGAGATGAAGCAAGGCCCAACAAGGCCCCTAACAAGGGAACACGCCTACGGGAGCAGTGTTTATGAAGTCATAAGACTTATTTCTGTGGAATGAAATTGTGTAAGTAGTAGTGCAAGAAGATACAGTATCGTCACATGATGCTGCGCGGCAATTTCGCTGCACGCTGTCCTTGTTGCAATCATAGTTATGGATTTTTCAGCTGACTAATGACTTCAACGAGAATGTTGTGATCATTACCTTCTGGATCTCAAGTACTCCATCGTCACGTTGTGCTTCGGCTCTGTATGCCTGCGTCCACCTACTCCAAGGGAGAACTCCATGGAAGTTACTAGAGCTGCATCTATGGATGCCTATTAACCTGACGGCGTGGAGTTCAGGCAGGCGGCTACCCTACACCGATTACCCCAAGTGTCTGTGTGCGGCGCTGGCGCCCCTACACACAACACAAGGAAATCCACGCCGCGCACAAGCACCCGATGCATGCAGAGAGGAAAAGTCTTGCCATATGCCTCCATCCGGTTCCGCAGGTAGCATATTCCCCGGCTGCGTAACCCGGGAGGAACGGAGGGTCCAACTGCAACTCTCGGGTCGCGGCCTGATTTACGAGCCGGTCGGCACTCTAACCTCAAACTGTCTTCTGCTATACGCTGTCAAATGTTTCTATGGACCTCTCTGAGCAGCAGAATGAGGCAGCCAGGTGGAAAGCCTGGAGAAGGAGACACCCAAGTGGGCCGCAAACCGAGTGAGGGGGTTGTCGCGGCCCTTGATGACCCTCCGCTGCCTGGCGGTAGCACATGCACATGGATAACACTTCATTTCGGCCTAGACTTAGCCCGCCACGGCCTTTCCATTCCTATGATAAGTGCGATTGGAGGTGGAAGACAGGGGCGGAAAGCTGAAGCAAAGTGACCAACATGCCGCATGGAATCCCAATGAGAACTACACACAGGCTTTTGTCGGTTTCCGCCAGAGGGTTTCGTGAGCAGCGTTCCATAGAGTTCCATAGATATACACTGCACGCACAGATCAGCCAACCTCGCCAGCACCACCTGATTGGAAAATTCCCAAGTACGTGTCCTTCACGTTCATATGCCACAATGTATCGCCGTACATGATTGTACCTGATAAGCACAGCCATAAATGATGTGAAAGCTATTCCACTCTGCAGTTTCTCTGTTACAGAAATCAGCGTTGCTCCACTCTCTTCACGTCTGTTCTGCCGTCTGTTTGCCTGTCTTTACGTGGTCCTTTTTACGCTTCCTCTCACCGTCACTTCATCAACTCCTCCCCCATTACACTTTCACCACCACCACTGTGGACCAGAACCCTTTTCCCTAAGCCACTGCCACCATCACCATCATAGTATGACCACGTCAACCGCCACAACGCTGTAAGCGTCCCTACCCCCCCAAACATTCCCTAGAGACCTCCCAATTTCCTCTTCCCTCCTCCTAGAGCACCGCCACTGGCACCCTGGCTCCCAATACCAGAAAAGCAACAACCGGCCGCGTCACACGTCGCGGCATTCAATGCCACGACCCCCAAAACACCAGACATACACGCACACGCCGCGTGCTTCCGCGTCCCGGCAGGTCCTCCTGGCAAAGTTCCCCCCCGGCCGCTAGTAATACGTTACAACATGAAGATGAGGTCGTTGTTGCGGTTGCCGTCGCCCACGTATAAGGCCCCCCAGGTCAGCTCATTGGCTGCGTAGTAGAAGAAGTACCCCGGCCACAGCAGCGACCGCACCTGCGTTAGAAATGATGATGAGGCAAAACGAGGGACGGGAGAGGGTTGAGGAGAAAGGAGGGGTGAGGAAGGGAGGAGTGAGCGGGACGAGGAAAGTGAAAACCCCCAAGAAGACCTCATCCCTAGTACTTCTTGTGTCAATTAAAGACCACACGTCGTCAATATGGCCCCTCCCAGGCAGCACGTCCCTCCCCTACCCGACACACACCCAGCCACCGCCCCACACAGGGAAGAGGCTGCACAAGGCTGTCCTGACCTGATCAACCCTGGCGATGCCTCCCAAAGGAGTACCACATCTCCCTTCTCGGAAACTTCTACCTTCCCTCACCCTCATGGATTGCCCAAATGTTCAATCCTTCCGTCCGCATTCACCTATTCAACATCGTGTGTGTGTGTGTGTGTGTGTGTTACAAGTTACAAGTGCCGCACGAGTGCGGGGAGGTCCGTCAAAGCCGGGAGGCCATGGACTATATATATTGAAAGTTGATTACACCGTACGACCGACGGCGGTTTGGGTCCTGCCAACCAGACCCCTCCTCATCCAGTCACCCAACATCCGTAGAGACAGATCAGCCACCACCACCATCTCAGCATGCGAAACTTAGTCCATCAACTAGACCTCATCTCCACACCTCAGCAGCGTTAGTAAACCTAGACCTCCCGAACAATGTCGGGGGTCTGACCAGGTGTGTGTGTGTGTTTCACCTTGAGTTGCGTTACCCTCCGAAGGTGTAATCCTAACCCTATCCAAACGGGAAAAAAACTATGGGGCAATCCAAGCCATCCATCCATCCCTCGCTCCCATTCCATTCCCCACCTCCCAATGGAGCCCCCTTTCGACCTCTCCCCCTCACCTGCGCCACCCCCTTGAACGAGTCGTAGTGGACACACCAGGTCCCGCGCAGGTCCTGAGCCAGCGTGGCTCCGGAACCAGGTGCTGCTGTGCGGTGCTGATAGGCCTCCAGCTTCTCGGGGTAGGCACAGCCCGCGAAGAGGCGGTTCGGGACCACTTGGCTGGCCGCGTTGACGATGGTGGAGTCCTGGAAGAAGAAGAGAGGAGGAAGAAGGGAGGAATCTGTCCACCAGCCGATGCACCCCAACTTCCAACGTGCAATTAGCAATGAACCGCACACCAGGGCCCCCAGGACCTTGCCCGCTATCTTGCCTGTTCCACCAACCTGTGTTTCCAACTCCGTTCTCAGTTGGGCAAACACGTTTTTAAGGAGCAGGTTCAGGTTGCATGCATGCGCATCGCGCGTGTCAGACAGAGATGGTTAAGGTGGTGCCTTGGCGCGCCCATGTTCGAGGCTCAATGGGCCTGCCCTGCCCTCGCCCGCCTCGCCTCGCCTCGCACACCCCGCCCGTCGGTTCCCCACTTTGAAGCGGCGCCCCGTCTCCGCACCCTGCCCCCTCCTGTCGGTCACCCCTTCCTCCTCCACAAATCCTGCCTTCCCACCGACACGAGCCTAACCCATTATTCCTCAACTCCCTCACACGTATGGCCTGTACAAATGTCCCTTCTCCGACCCCGACCAGCCCAGCTCCTGGTGCTGCTGCAGCTCTCGGCCAGCAGCCAAGCAGCGAAGCGGAGCCCTCCCTGGCCGCCCAACGGCACCACCACGACACGCCCCACTCCTCCAAAACCCAAATTTGCGCCATTCCAGTTCTCACTCCAACCCAGATCAGAATCCTGAAATCTCATCGGTCTTCGCCTAGTTCACTAGTCGGTGGTCACCGATGACCAATCATACAATGCTCAATCATACATCTCCTCGGCTCTCTGCCCACTCCCTTACGGTCCCGGATTTATCAGGACGCCACATTCGGAGTGCTGGTGTCGCGGCAGCTATTGCTGCTGCTGGCAGATGAAAAAGAACCGGAAGACCGAAGAAAAGCTAGCTACTCTTTGTCCTGAAGAGGCTTTCCTGCTCCCCCAGCAGGGACCTCCCTTTTTTTCCCCTCCCGGAAAAGCCGAGTCCCCAAACCCCGCCTTCTTACTCCCACCCGGCCATCGCCTTACCGTTGGCATGACCGACGTGGCAGCTGTGATTGAATCCACTCTGTAGCGCAGCACCGATAGCTCTGGAATTTGAAAGGTGAGCGGCTTGGCTGCCTCCTCGCCCTCCGGGGGCTCCTCGGGCGCGTTGGGGTCCTTCTCCTCAAGCTCATAGTTCTTTGCAGCATCACCGCTCAGTTGCCCCTTAATCCTGGCGCACCGTGTTGCTGTCTCCACGTCGATGGGCTGCAAGTCGCTCCAGCGTGCGCCATCTTGGCTGTAAAAGTACTTGGTTTCGTAGTTGACGACGCCGTCCTTGCAGGTCGCGATGTTGAAGCCCTCCGCGACAAGATAGTCCTACAGCGTCCAGTAGAGGGATATTAAGCCGTCAGCTGCCAAGTTGCTGCCAAGTTTTGGGATGGCAACTTGTTTCTCAAGTTCAGATGCTGGTGACGCACCTTGCCGTTCAGAGTGGTTATCCTCCCCCACAGTACGAGACTTTTTAGGCCAGCTTCGATGCGCTTAATCGGTATTGAATGGTCAAGAGCTGCCTGCGGTAGGCAATACTGAGTTAAACACTATTTCGATGCGCGGCCCTTGCACGACTTGTGCCAAATGCACGCCAACCTGCTGTTCCGCAGGAATCACAGCTCCTGAGCTTGCTAGGTGCTTAAGCACCAGGGTGAAGTTGGGCTCCAATTGCACCATGGCGCCCTCTAGAAAGTATTGCTAACGCGATGTTATATAAACAGCCTTTAGCCGATTAATATGGTGCACCTTCTAAATCTGCTTTAAAGCGCAAACTAGGTGCAAATGTGCCAAGTCCTCGCTTAGAACCGTGGACCGTACGGCTGCTCCGGAGCTGTTGGTTGGCAGCAGACCCGAAGAATACTCAGCCAAGATAACGAATTGTACTTTTTTTACACATCTTCTACATGTTCAATCTGGCAACGTTTCCAACTTTTGAAGTCAAGTCCTCCCATCTTGCGCGCTGGTGTACTAATCTTTTTTGCTGTAGTATATGGGAAGCAAAGGGTTATAATTGAACTATACCTTGCTTCACAAGCTGCTTCGGCCATCATAACCTTCCGGAACCCCCTACGGCACCCCACCGCGTCCCCGAGCAGCCCCGTTCCCCGTCAACCCCAGCCAATCTACTATGTCACAAATTGCTTGCCCTGACGCCGCTTGCCCTCCACCCTCCACCCCATGTGTCCCCCAACCCCATGTAGTAGCGACACGCCTTAACGGTTCCCCCTGTCCCCCAGGGTCGCACGCCCTCGGTCGAGCAGGAGGGGCTATGGCCCCTCACACCCCTTCCCTACCGCTAGGGGGAGAGTGCTTCGACGGTAACCGTTACCGTTGGGTTTTTTACGGTTAGGTGCCCCTGGCCAGCGTCAGGTCCGGATCGATGTGTAACATGCACACACATATATACATACACACTCCCTAGTCCTTGCTTTGCTCAAATTTGCTTCTACCATACACGGCCTTCATTATTGATTACGCTTCAGCAACAGCCGCTCTCTGCTGCTCCCCAAACCCCATGAGAAAGCTAACGTATCCGTGCAAGCAAGAGAACCAACACAAACAAGGCTCACTAGGACGGACTGAGGGACGAAGGAGGAGATGCAGAACGACAGCTCATCACTCGGGACGAAGTCGAGGCCAGCTGGTGCGAGGGACCGGACGCAGAAGCGACCCTACACGAGCATCTGGCTGGACTAGGAGTAGGTCTGCCAGTCCAAGTCCTGGCGTGGATGAGCTGCCGCTCACGGGGGCGGGGGTGTTCCGCATCCGCTTCGCCGGCAGGAGAGGGAAGAGGGAGGCTAAGGGGAAATTCGGCAAAGAAGCCCACCCGCCCATTCCGAGCCCCCCTCCGCTGCCTCCCCTTCCCATGCCAAACCGCAGCCACCCTCCCTCCCTCCCTCCCTCCCTCCCACCCGCCAAATGTCAAGTTTCGAAAAGGACAGAGCAGTGCACTAGGTCGTCGCCATGCCCCTCGCCATGCCCCTCGCCATGCCCCTCCTAGCGGCCGCCGACACTCACTGCAGAACCCATGTCCCCTCCTAAGGCATGACACCTTCACATGTGCATAAAACAACCACACATCACGCACACACACGCACACGCACACACACACAGGTAGGCAGGCAGGGCCGTGTGTCGATCCGACCGCGCCCGGTACCGCGAACCAGGTCCTCCACCCCCGGCTCCATGGAGGGACACCTCCCCTGCCCGCACGCCCCTCCAACCCCTCCGTCGTCGTCGCAGTCGTCATCATTTAGCGGGAGGAGATGGCAAGAATGGCTCCAGAATCACTATCATACACACACATATATCTTGGACTGTCGTTGGGTCAGTCGGCGCGCTTTGGGCTATTCATAAACGCGTCAATCTTGGGTGTCGTACGGCTGTACGGCCATCCATCTTCGGGTCCGCCCCACGCCTTCCCTCCCTAACTATGGCTACGGCTCTTAACCTTTAATTACCAGAAAGGCCTCGTCACGATCCAACGGCCCTGTACGGAGGCGGCGGAGGGCTCCCAGGTCGTTGCCGCCGCCGCTGCTGGTGACGTACTGCCATCGCCACGCCAGACCTGCGCCATCAGCTCCACTGGGCTGCGCCGGCGGAGGCGCCTCCACCGGCGGCGGCCGCCAGGGCCCACCCGCCGTCAGATGTACGGCAGTACGGGCCAGACGCGCGGTTGCTGACAGAAAGCGGGCGTAGTCGGGCTGTCGAGCGAACATGTCACGTGGCGGGGCCACACCCCGCCGTACATACTCGGACATGAACCTGCAGGACGTCCCCGACTTGTCTGTGAGAGTTCGCGTCTCGCGTCGGACCCGGACAGTAACCGAGTAATATCGACCTCCGCCAGTCGACCAGTACGTGGCGAGCAGCAAAGAGAGAGGCAGGCTTCGTGCGTGTGTGTGTGTGCGCGCGTGTGTGTATCTGTATCTGTTACATATCGAACCGGGCCTGACGCTGGCCAGGGGCACCTAACAGTAAAAACCCCAACGGGAATGAGCGACCGCCGAAGCACTCTCCCCTTAGCGGCGGGAGGAGAGGGGCGTCAGCGGGGAGCCACAGCCCCCTAATATTGCTCGTCCCAGGGCACCTGTCCGCGTGTGTCCCACATTGTTAGACGGAGTTTCCCGCCCCCGCCGCCCCCGCCGCCGCCCCCGCCGCGTGGGTGTCACCGGCCGGACACAGATGGTGGAGTAAGGCAGTGTAAGGGGGCCAGTGTGGCGGCGCCAGTGTACGGCGTTCCAACGTCGCGAGGGCAAAACACACTGTCGTACAAACGTTGTCGTACCTTTCCAGGATACACAGCATCCGATGCAAGTAGTCATCATCTCGCATCATCCGAAACACGGTGGTGCCCTTGGTGGCTGACCTGGCGGTTGGGGCAGTCGGTTACACTGACAGTTAAGAACGGTTGGCCGTACGTGGGTTGGGAAAACAAGCCAGGCATCATAATCACGGTGGGCGAAAGACGGAGTGAGTTGGCGGTTGCCACAGCGTACGACGGCTGGGTCGGGTTTTGCACGATGCGGCTTCCCGGTCTCCATCTGGTCCCCCCACTGTCCCCGCCCGGCGTCCCCTTACCCTCACCCACCTCCTAAGGGCCTGTCCCTCCCGCCTCCAACCCTTCAATCACCACTACCACCTGTACAGTTATATACCAAGACAGACAAACAGACAGACAAACAAACAGACAGACACAGGCACGCACAGACGGTGAGATACTTGTAACCTTCACACAGACAGACAGACAGACAGACAGGCACACACACCGATGCACACACGCACACACACACCTTGACACCAGCAGCCCCGACTGGCACCCCGTAGCCAGCATGTGCAGTTGCAGCTGGGGCACCCATTGCGGAGGTACGGCACCCCGAGGACCGCGGTCGCTGAGGACCCACTCTCTCGCGAGCCGCCCCTTGCCGCCGCGCCGTACCTGTCCGGTGGGGGAGGGGGAGGGAGGGAGGGGGGGAGGGGGGGAGGGGGAGGGGGAGTGGGAGGCGGAGGGGAGGGGTAGAGGGGGGGGAGGGGGAGGGGGACGGGGAGGGGGAGGCGGAGGGGAGGGGTAGAGGGGGGGGAGGGGGAGGGGGACGGGGAGGGGGAGGGGGAAAGACGAACCACGAACGAGTGAAGCTGCTGACAAGGAAAAAGTGTACGTGGGTAGGGGAGGGGGAGTGGGAGTGGGAAAGAGAGGGTACGTGGCTCAACTGGCCCCAGGCCCACACGCGATCCCAAACACACAGCTAAACAACAGCATATTGCGATGTCTCCGTACCTGCCGTATTCCAAACGGACATGTGTTCTTAACCTCCACAACTTCCCGCAACACGACGTGTACGGCATTATGATGCGCATCCGGCGCCTCGCTGTTGCCGCCGCCGCCGCCACCGCCGGCTGCGCCATCTTCGCCACCCGCGTCGTGCAGGACGGTAGAATCACCGCCACCACCACCACCGCCGCCGCCGCGGCCCCCACCGACATTGCCGCCGCTAGCGCCGCATCCTGTTGAAGCCGCCGCCGTAACGGTCGCCCTGCCGTACCTTTTGGCGGCGCCGCCGCATGCACACCACACCGCGCCAGGTGTCTCCGGACTCCAACTGCCGCCAACGTCAGCGTCCACCTCGCCATGCTGATCCGTCACCGCCGCTGCCGCCACCCCTGCCCTCGCGTCCACTGCCGCCGCCACCGCCGCTGCCGCCACCGCCGCCACCGCCGCCCCGGCACGCTGCCCTCCTTGGCTATCAGGAAGGCCCCCTCCACCACAAGCACCACAAGCACCAGTGCCACAGGTTCGCTTATCGTCGCCGTCGTGATCATCCTGGCGGCCGCTGAGAGGCAGATCCAAGGCAACCCTGGATGGTGGTGATGATGATGGTGATGACGACGGCAGGGGCAGCGGCAGCGCCTCTGCCGCCGCCGCCGTTGACGGCGGCTTTTCCCCAGCGACGGCGCCAGCGACGGCGCCAGCACCGCCTCCGCCTCCGCCGCAGACTCTGCAAAGCAGCACAACGGGCAATCTGCTCTCCAGCACCGCCGCCAAGATGTCGCCATGGAGTGCTAAAGCAGCGGCGGCGGTGGCGGCGGGAGCGGCGATGGCGGGAGAGGTGGCGGCTGCCCGTGTCGTACAAATACCGGTAGATGAAGAGGCCGCGACGGCAGCGGTTGAGGCAGAGGCAGCGGCCGCCGCCGCGGCGCGTTTGGATGCGGAGGCACTGGCGTCGGCGTCGGCGACGGCGGCTGCTGGGCTAACGGCTTGAGGCGCGCACCAGCTTTCAACCCAGGGGCGGCTGCCGGTGCCGCCGCCGCTAACGCCTCCACCGCCGCCGCCGTACCTTTCCCGTTCCCTTTCGTCGTTGTTCCCGGCGCCGCCGTCAATAACACCTCTGCCGTCATCGCCTGCGGCTGCGGAGCCGCCTCCACCGCCCAAAGCTTCCTCGTCCGATCCGCTGCCGTCGCCTTCACCAACAAAGGCCTCTTCTTCTCCCTCCTCCTCCTCCTCTTCCTCCTCGTCGTCGCCGTCACCGTCATCATCGCCGTCAGTGCTGGCGGTTGCAACGCTGCCGTCGGCGCCGCTGTCCCCCTCGTCATCGCCGCCGCCGCCGCCGCCGCCGGCACCCAGGCTCACGGGTATCCGGTCCAGGAGCTCTCGGAGCCGCTGCTGCATGACGTTATCATTAGCGAAGAAGGACCAGGACCCCGTAGAAGTACGGCGGGTAGTACGGGTCAGGATGTGCGCAAAAGATGCAAGGACAAAAAGACCAACTGCCCAACATCCAACGGTTGTTAGTTGGTACGGACGCATTGGAAAAGGACGCGAGCCCACGGAGAGCAAGACGGACAAGAGTTTAAGGATTGGAATATAATAAAACGAGAAGGGCTTACGGAGGACAGAATACGACAGTTAGCAGGCAGTTAGCAGAAAGGCAGCAGGCAGTTAGCAGACAGTTAGCAGACAGTTAGCAGGCAGTTAGCAGACAGTTAGCAGGCAGTTAGCAGGCAGGTAGCGGCTGCGGTAGCGATAGCGCGGGGGAGCTCTGCGCGGGGTAACCCTCGAGCTGTGTTGCGCTAGAGCCCTCCCCCTTCCATCCACCCCACCCCCAGCCCCACCGCCACCCCCACCCACCCCCAGCCCCGCGGCCATTACAAATGCTGCTGCTACCCCCCCTTCCATTTCCACTCCGAAACCACCAGCCCACCCACCCACCACTGCTGTTGCAGCAACAGGTCGTTGTTGTTGGTGGTGGTGGTGGTGTCCTCCGGAACAAAACCCGTTCAACTCTCCCGGGGTCTTCTGTCGTACATCCACCTGCGCCTCCAGCTCCTCCGCCGCCTGCAGCAGTAGCCGCGCCTCCTCGGGCTGAAGCACCAGGTGATGCGCTATGAGGGCGTCTGGGGAGGCGGCCACAGGGGGCAGGAGGGGGCCCCCGGGGGGGCTGCAGCGGGCTGGGAGGGGGTGCGCGCAGCAGAGGCCAACCTGCCCGGGGGGGTGGGGTGGCGTGTGTGTGTGTGTGTGTGAGGTGGGGGGGAGAAGGGTGGGGGGGGGTAAGACGGGGTAAGACGGAGATAATCATTTGGAGGGAAGGTGTGTGTGTGTGTGTGTGCGTAAGACGAACCACTGGCGAATGAAGCAGATACCAGAGATGGACGGATAATCAGTAGTTCCGGAGAAGACAGGTACTGCACCAGGAATATTAGGAAGTTGCTGACCAGTAACGACTTGAGCCGTGGTCATGGCTGCGACATGGCCAAATCTGGGTTGCGAAATGAGTTACTTACTACGCTGCCGCGTGTGTGTGTGTGGGGGGGGGAGGGGTTTGGGTGGGTGTGTGGGTGGGTTGGAGAATCATATGCAAAAGGAACAAGAAGGAGTGAACTGCCGTAAGGCGTCCGCTATGCGAAACACTAGTGCGTCCTCTAAGCGATGAAGCCAGGGGATGGGGTGGGGGGAGAAGATTAGGATCGATGTGATGGTGCGAGAACAAGAGGAAAGAGAAGAAGGAGAAGGAGGAGGAGTCCTAGCCGACCACGGGCCCTTCCCCACCTCCAAAAGGACATACAACCCCACTGGCCCCCACACTTATTTGGCCATACATTGAAAGACCGCCAAACGCACAGCATCCGTACGCTCGTATACTCCGTACAGTTCGTACCTCGTGCAGGCTGGAGTTCGGGAAGATGTGCAGCAGCTGCGCCAGCGCCGCCGCCTCCTGAACCCGGCCCCAGCCGCACCGCACACCCCCCAGGCCCCCACCCCCACCCTCGCGTAACGCGGCCGAGCAGCGGCGGTAGCGCTCTGCGTGTGCGGGTGTGTGTATGGCGGGGGGGGGGGGAAGACGAACCACGAACGAGTGATACCGCTGCCAAGGAAAGAGTGTACAAGAAGCAGAACTGACCAGTAGGCGGTTTCGAAGTGTGTAGTGGGGGGAGGGTGCGTATGAGGGTGCGTGTGTGTATGAGCGTGTGTCCACGGGTGAGAAAGCATCAACACACACAGCAACACCAGCAACACCACAGGGAAGCGAAGGCGGAACATCACCAACCTTGGAGGTCCGGAGCTCCCTGCGCCTCCGCCGCCGCCTCGCTCAGCTGCGCCCCCGCTTCCGCTTCCGCCGCCGCCGCCGCCGCCTTCCTCTCCTCCCTCCTTCCGCCCTCCTCTCCTCCGTCCTGCTGCTGGTCCTTACCCTCCCGCCGCCGCCGCTGCAGCATTAGCATCTCCGCGAGCACCTGCCGCCGCCAGACCGCCTCCCGCCCCCTCTGGCCTTCAGGCTCTGCAGGAAGAGGCAGCTGATGAGGCTGCTGGAGGTGCTGGAAGGCCGCCAGCAGAGGCGCATGGCTGCTCTGATGACCCGTGGGTCACAATCGGAGTGTGTGGCGGGGGAGGGAGGGAAGAGGGCATTTTTTTATAGAACAGCTATAAATACCCACCTCCCCTCCCTCCTTAATTGTTACCAATTCCCTCTCCTCCAAGCCCTTATAAAATACTTTCCCCCCTTTCCTTTGCTCCTTGCATCATACGATCCCTTCCCCTCCGGAAGTGCCTTTCCCCTCCCCCCTTTCCCTCCCCCCTCAAAATCCCCCTCACCTCATTGCGGCCCCCCACCACCCGGGCGGCCAGCGGCTCCCTCAGCCCCAGAGCCTCCTTGAGGATCCCGGTGGTCAGCACGCCGGTGTGCAGCTGCCGCCAGCAGGGACTGTCCTGCCGCAAATATCTGGACACGAGGACGGAAGTGGATGATGGGGGGGAGGGGCAAGTACAGGGAATGTACTAGTTTAAACTGGTAATTTTTAATTAGTGAAATTTCACTTCGTAATTTTTAAATTAGTAAATTTGTACTAATTAGAAACGGCCAAGCAGCGGGGGTTGTAAGGGGCGCAAAAGGTGCTCAAATACTTAAGGAGGTGAAGAGAAGGGAACGGAAGAGAGGTGCCTGGCGGTGGTGGGGGTGGCGGTGGTGGGGGTGGGGGTGGCGGGGGTTAAGTCGAACCACAGGCAGGTGAAGCTGGTGCCAAAGATAAACAGGTACTCTCAGGAAATTGTAAGAAGTTGGGGGGTTGTGTGTGAGGTTGCGAGGTTGGTGGAAGCTTCTGTGTGTGCGTGTGGCATTTTAGCAGGGGGGGCGTGGGGAACCTTCGCAATGGTGGCGATGAGGATTTTCGGAATGACTGCGGCAGCAGGGGTTGTGGTGTTTGCGGTGTTTACAAGTGGTTATAATGGTTATGATGGTTATGAGTGGTTGTGGTGGTTATGATGGTTATGGTGGTTACGGTGACGTGTTTAACGATAGAGTCCCGGGACCCGGCGATGCTTACCTAGAGGCTGCGAGGCACGGCAACGGTTGACCCGGAGGAGGTCGTTCTGGGAGGTCAACGAAGCGAGGACAGGATCGTAGGTCGTCCATGGAAACGTAGCCCCAGAACAGGTTGGGAATCGGTCCGGAGGTGGCGCCGGGGGCGCTGCCGCCGGCCTTGCTGGGCGCGTGAGCCGGCATAGCCACGCCAGTCGTGCTAGCTTGTCCGTTGTTGCTTCCGGCGCCAACAGATTTCTTTTTCTTGCTCTTGCGCGACTGAGCGGATTTTTTTCGAGCCATTTTGCAGATATATCCAGGCTGGGATATTGTGCAGTCTTGGCAGCGCGGCAAGGGCTCAGCTGCTAAGGCGGTCAGTTGCGGGCTGCAATTGCAATGCCAAGCTGTTCTCTTGAGGGTCGTTTAGGCGTCAAATTTTATCGTATAGTTTGATGTGCAATCAATTATACGGTTAGCATGATCTAGCTATGGTGTAACAAAGCTTGCAGTTGGCAAGCAGTTGCGAAAAAGGAAATTATCCAACGATAAAAGGTGGTATTGATAAATACCGTTTGGTATTGGAAGATTATGAATAGTTCTTGGATGTACCGTTGGTACGATACCGTTGGCCCGGTGAGCCAAGGGCCGCCTTAGCGGCGTTACATTCCCCCCCTCTTGAATGCGAACCCGTCCTCGGGGCGCCTTGAGTGAGGTGGATAATTGGGGATAACTTGCGCTACGATTTTGCAGCGGAATCCGTGGATACGGAGCGACGTATGCACCTGACCTTGGAGGCGGGCGCTATTTGCGCCGTCTCCTAGCATGCAAGTAGCTACGTGGCTAGTGAGGGGCTGTAAACCCCGTTTTTGCACAAGTGTGGCGGATATGAAAACGTGCGAAGCACCTGAGTCGACTAAGGCGACAGCTTTTGTGCTAGTAAAGTTGCACGGTAGTAGTGGCGCGGTGTTTTCAGTCAGAGGTTCTAGTGCAGAACACTTGGACTTTTCCTGGCAGGGGTCGAGCCATGCTTGAAACTCGCCGCTGCAGTTTGGGGACCTGGTGCGACCACCTCCGGGTTTAGGTTCGGAGAAGATATTGGAGTTTTTTGTAAACTCTTTGAGTAAGGTCCAACCGCGTGTTTGAAATTCCTTTTCTAGGTGGGCACACTTGGGCACCAAAATAACCGCACTAGTTGTGTCCGGAGCGCGCTGTTTAAAAGTGCTGAAGTTATTCAGCCAAGGAATCGCGCGATCGGCTGGTGCGTTGCACCAGATATG